AGGGGAGTCCCCCACTTTTCTATAAAGCTGTTTATTCTATTTAATGTATCTGTAAGGAATCTTTGAGATACTAACTCTTCACCAATTATACTTGTTGCAAATAATTTCCCCTATGTTTTTTAAACTTGCCTTTTCACTTTTTGAAGAGAAAAAGTTAATTTTTTAATGTAGTCGAAATTTTCCTTTATATTTGGTGCTTTCTTTTTCACTTTCGACCAACTTTGAGAAATAATTATCAAAAGTAGCCAAGATGGTGGAGTAAAAAGACCCTGAGTTCACCTCCTCTCATGAGCACACCAAAATCACAACTATCTGCAGAACAACCATCAATAAAAAAAAGACTGGAACCTACCAGAAAAGATCTTCTACAGCTGAAGACATAAAGAAGGAACCACATCAAGACCACTAACATCAGGGACTTCCCCAGTGTTCCCGTGATTAAGAATCTGCGCTTCCACTGCAGGGGGCGCAGGTTTGGCCACACAGTGTGGCCAGAAACAAAACAAAGACCACTAACATCATACACAACGGTGAAAAGCTGAAAGCACTCCCTCTAAGATCAGGAACAAGACAAGGATGCCCACTCTTGCCACTTTTATTCAGCACAGTTTTGGAAGTCCTAGCCACAGCAACTGGAGGAAAAGGAAATAAAAGGAATCCAAATCGGAAAGGAAGAAGTAAAACTGTCACTGTTTGCAAATGACATGCTACTATACATAGAAAACCCTAAAGGCACCACCAGAAAACTACTAGAGCTCATCAATGAATTCGGTAAAGTTTCAGGATACAAAATTAATATACAGAAATCTGCTGTAATTTTATACACTATGAATGAAATATCAGAAAGAGAAATTAAGGAAACAATTCCATTTACCACTACATCGAAAAGAATAAAACACCTAGGAATAAACCTACCTAAGGAGGCAAAGGATCTGTACTCCGAAAACTATAAGATGCTGATGAAGGAAACTGTAAGACCACACAAACAGATGGAAAGATATACCACGTTTTTGGATTAGATGACTCAATGTTGTTAAAATGACCATACTACCCAAGGCAATCTACAGATTCAACACAATCCCTATCAAATTAACAATGGCATTTTTCACAGAACTGGAACAAAAAAAATTTTAATTTGTATGGAAACACAAAAGACCCCGAATAGCCAAAACAATCTTGAGAAGGAAGAATGAAGCTGGAGGACTGCTCCCCAACTTCAGGCTCTATGACAAGGCTACAGTAATCAAAACAGTATGGTACTGTCACAAAAATAGACACAGAAATCAATGGAACAGTATAGAAAGCCCAGAAATAAACCCATGCACCTGTGGTCAATTAATGTACGATAAAGGAGGCAAGAATATACAATGGAGAAAAGATGGTCTCTTCAATAAGTGGTGCTGGAAAAACTAAACAGCTACACTTAAAAGAATGAATTAAAACATTTTCTACCACCATTTACAAAAATAAACTCAAAATGGATTAAAGACCTAAATTTAAGACCAGATACTATAAAACTCCTAGAGGAAAACATAGGCAAGACACTCTTTGACATAAAATCACAGCAATATTTTTATGGATCCATCTCCTAGAGTAATGGAAACAAAAATAAACAAATGGGAACTAATTAATCTTAAAAACTTTCGCACAGCAGAGGAAACCATAAACAAAAAGAAAAGACAACCTACCGAATGGAAGAAAATATTTGCAAATGATGTGACCGACAAGGGATTAATTTCCAAAATATACAAACAATTCACACAGCTCATTATCAAAAAACAAACAACCCAATCAAAAAATGGGCAGGAGGGAGATGCAAGAGGGAAGAGATATGGGAACATATGTATATGTATAACTGATTCACTTTGTTATAAAGCAGAAACTAACACAGCATTGTAAAGCAATTATACCCCAATAAAGATGTTAAAAAAAAAAATGGGCAGAAGACCTTAACAGACATTTCTCCAAAGAAGACACACAGATGACTAATAGGCTCATGAAAAGATGCTCAACATTGTAATTATTAGAGAAATGCAAATCAAAACCATAATTAGGTATCACATCACACTGGTCAGAATGGCCATCATCAAAAAGTCTACAAACAATAAGTGCTGGAGAGGGTGTGGAGAAAAGGGAACAGTCCTACACTGCTGGTGGGAATGAAATTGGTGGTCATTATGGAGAACAGTATGGAAGCTCCTTAAAAAACTAAAAATAGGGTTACCATATGATCCAGCAATCCCATCACTGGGCATATATCTGGAGAAAACTCTAACTCGCATGTACATGTACCCCAATGTTCATAGCAGCACTATTTACAATAGCCAAGACATGGAAGCAACCTAAACGTACACTGACAGATGAATGGATAAAGAAGATGTGGTATAAATATATACCATAATGGAATACTACTCATAAAAAAAGTCATAAAAAAGAATGAAGTAAATGCCATTTGCAGCAACATGGATGGACCTAGAGATTATCATATTAAGTGAAGTCAGAGAGAGAAAGACAAATATCATATAATATCATTTATATGTGGAATCTTAAAAAATGATACAAATGAACTTATTTACAAAACAGAAATAGACTCACAGGTGTAGAAAACAAACTTATGGTTACCAAAGGGGAAAAGGGGGGTAAGGATAAATTTGGAATCTGGGATTAACAGACACAGACTACTATATATAAAATAAACAACAAGGCCCTACTGTATATAGCACAGGGAACTACATTCAGTATCTTGTAATAACCTATAATGGAAAAGAATCTGAAAAAGAACAGATATATATGTGTAACTGAATCACTTTGCTGCACATCTGAAATACTGTTAATCAACTATACGTCAATAAAAAAATAAAAATTAAAAAAAAGAAATAATTATCCCTAAGGTCATTAAGATAATCTCCTATAGTCTCTTCTAAAAGTTTTATAGTTTTGCCTTTAAGTCTTTAATCTGATTGAAATTCATTTTTGTCTAAGGTAAGAAAGTAGGGCTCAGTTTTTCTTATGACTATCAAACTGTACTAGCATTGATTAGAACAATTTTTCCTTTCCCTATTTATCTATAATGCCATCTCTGAGAAAAATCAACTTTCTATATACACAGGAATTCTATGGTCTCTGTTCTGTTCTACTCTGTTCTGTTCTACTGGTTGGTGTATCCTGCACCAACACCATACCATAATAAATCTTGATATATGTCGGGGCATGGCCAAAAGAAAAAAAAACAAATCTTGTTCTTCTGAAGCATTTTTGCTCTTAAAAACACATTTTAAAATGAGCTTGTCTAATAAGGAATCTTGTTTAGGTTTTAATTAGAATTTCATTGAACCTACCGATGATCAATTTTACAATATTGCTTCTGTTTTTATGTTTTGGTTTTTTGGCCCCGAGGCATGGGGGACCTTAGCTCCCCAACCAGGGATTGAACCCGCACCCACTGCACTGGAAGGTGGATTCTTTACCACTGGACCACTAGGGAAGTCCCCGATGATCAATTTTAGGAGGAATGACATTGTTATATTAGTCTTCCTATCTGTGAACATGATATCTCTCCACTTATTCATCACTAATATCTTTCAACAAAGTTTTACAATTTTTTCCATGCGGGTTTTACACATTTTAAAGAATTTATTCCAAGATACTTTATAATTTTTAAATTACTACACTGTGTACCATGTCATGTATTTTTCAGATTTACATTTTATTCACTGCTAATATGTTTTAAATGGTGTTGATGATAAATAGCAAAGGATAACATTTATCTATAACACTTACTAGCTACCAGTTATCTAAGTGCTTTAGATATTGACTGATCCATTTAATCCTCATTATATCCCTATGAGATACCCTTATTTTTAAATTAGAAAAACAAGTACAGGGAAGTTAAATAATGTGCCCCAGGACACAAAGCTAGAAAGTGTTGAATCTGGAATTCAAAGCCAGGCAGTTTGGCATCAGATTGAATGCATTCAACAATGAGGCAAACCGACTTTCAGTGAAACTGATTCCTGCATATGAACTATCCACCTTGTTAAGTGCCTACTAATTCTAATAATTTCTCTCCATTAACAACTATATACTCTATGAATAATGAAGGACAATATAATAATGACTTACAGTTGTGTTTCTTCCTTTCCATTTCTTATACCATTTAGTTCTTGTGCTTGCCTTATCTTGCTGGCTAGGAATTCTAACATATGTCAAATATGTGATAATGGCAGGCATCATTGTTTTTTTCCCTTGATTTAAAATTTTTTAAGGGAATGTTTTAAATCTTCTGCAATTGAGTGATAAATGTTTTTTGGTAGACATGCTTACAGCATGTTACAACAGGTTAAATTTTCCTGGGTATAAAATTCTAGGCTGCCTGCTATTTTCTCTCAATACTCTGAAAACGTTATCCCACTACTAACTGTCCTTCACTGCTCTTGTCAATGAAATTGCCTGTCATTCACTTATGGGCAATCTTTTTATCTGGCATCTTTTAAATTCTTCTCTTTGGTGTTTTGCATTTTCATAATGATGTTTTAGTCTAACTCTTTTTTTTTTTTTTTGCGATACGCGGGCCTCTCACTGCCGCGGTCTCTCCCGTTGCGGAGCACAGGCTCCAGACGCGCAGGTTCAGCAGCCATGGCTCACGGGCCCAGCCGCTCCGCGGCGTGTGGGATCTTCCCGGACCGGGGCACGAACCCGTGTCCCCTGCATCGGCAGGCGGATTCTCAACCCACTGCACCACCAGGGAAGCCCTAGTCTAACTATTTGATGGACTTTTTGTATCCAAGGTTTCGTATCTTTGACAGTTATATGAAATCCTCAGCAACTTTGACTATTGCTGTGGCATTGTTCTATTTCCTCAGAACAGGACTTTTAGTTAACTATGTTCAAACTTCTACCTTTATTCTTCATATATCTTAACTCCTAATTCATATCGTTCATGTTTTTTCCTTAGGCTGCATTCTCAGTAAGTTGATTTAAAATAAATGAAGTTGACTCTGTTCCGATCGCCTGGCGCGGCGGGGCAGGGTCTTGGGCTAGTCATGGCGTCCCCGTCTCGGAGGCTGCAGACCAAACCGGTCATCACTTGTTTCAAGAGCGTCCTCTTGATCTACACATTCATCTTCTGGATCACTGGTGTTATCCTTCTTGCTGTTGGCATTTGGGGCAAGGTGAGCCTAGAGAATTATTTTTCCCTTTTAAATGAAAAGGCCACCAATGTCCCCTTCGTGCTCATTGGTACTGGCACTGTCATTATTCTTTTGGGCACCTTCGGCTGTTTTGCTACCTGCCGAGCTTCTGCATGGATGCTAAAACTGTATGCAATGTTTCTGACTCTTATTTTTTTGGTTGAACTGGTCGCTGCCATCGTAGGATTTGTTTTCAGACATGAGATTAAGAACAGTTTTAAGAATAATTATGAGAAAGCTTTAAAGCAATATAACACTACGGGAGATTATAGAAGCGATGCAGTAGACAAGATTCAAACTACGTTGCGTTGTTGTGGTGTCACCGACTATAGAGATTGGAAGGATACTAATTATTACTCAGAAAAAGGATTTCCCAAGAGCTGCTGTAAACTTGAAGGTTGTTCTCCTCAGAGAGATGCAGATAAAGTAAACAATGAAGGTTGTTTTATAAAGGTGATGACCATTATAGAATCAGAAATGGGAGTTGTTGCGGGAATTTCTTTTGGAGTTGCTTGCTTCCAGCTGATTGGAATCTTTCTAGCCTACTGCCTCTCTCGTGCCATAACAAATAACCAGTATGAGATAGTGTAACCAGCATAACACGGGCCTGTTCCTCTCCAACTTTAAGGATATTAACATCCCCACCCCCAACCCTGTGAATTACAAGATCGCCTGGATGGAAGACCGACATTTATTACAGATAGATTGAAAAACTATACCAGTAGTCTGATTCGATCAAGACATTTGCTTGATATGTTCGAAGTCCACCTTTTGTCCCATTCATGTTAGATAGTTGAAATCCCCATGTCACTCTGAAACACTGGAAGAGCTTAGTAAATTGTAAATGAAGCAAAAAAATAAATAAATAAATAAATGAAGTTGGTTTAATACACACCCACAGGAAACAAAGGTAGAGATAATATGGTATCTGAATTTGCTTAAAACATATATAGTTTGTAACTGCTGAAGCTTAAAAACAGGCACATTGCAGTATTTTATTCTCAGGTATGTTTGCATTTTCCATAATAAAAATAGAAATATAAGAGTGCTTGGTTAAATGTGCATAAATTATCCAAAAGAAATAGTTGCCTGTGGAGAAAGGAACATTAGATGATTTAGAAATGGGGAGGAGGGAGATTTATCACTTTCTGTCTTTATTACCTTTTCATTTTTATCTTTGTAAATGTATATCCTCTTAAAAATTGAAAAGACTTCCTTCACTATTAGTGAAGACTCCCTTCACTCCCTCCCCATAGCAACAAAAAATATAACATACCTAAGAATAAACTTAAAAATGGACTGGGCTGGGGCTTCCCTGGTGGCGCAGTGGTTGAGCGTCCGCCTGCCGATGCAGGGGACCCGGGTTCGTGCCCCGGTCTGGGAAGATCCCACATGCCGCAAAGCGGCTGGGCCCGTGAGCCATGGCCGCTGAGCCTGTGTGTCCGGAGCCCCTGCTCCACAGCGGGAGAGGCCACGGCAGTGAGAGGCCCGCGTACCGCAAAAAAAAAAAAAAAAAACCACACACACACACAAAACTCTGAGGGTTATAAAAGTTTTGCTTAAAAGCATAATATGCACTTTATCTTTGAGAAGTATGTATTATATTGAATATGCAAAAATCTTCCCCTATTAAGCCTTTAAAGTTGATTCAATCTCGAAGTTGACAAAAATAATATTAAAGGTCATATGGAAGAAAAAAACAGAATGAAATTCTGAGAAATAATTAGAGGAGGAAAACTGGCGCTATTAAATATTAAAATTTATTTAATAGTTACAGCAATTATAATTAGCTAGGTACACTACCACTCAAATCCAGATTCTATTAATAAGAAAGACGGGATCATGAATAATAGGCAACTTGAAACTGTGCAACTGACTCAATAATAAACAATGGAACACCGTGGTCACGAAAAAGACCAGAAAACCCCATGCTTTTTAAGATGCTATTATTGGTATTCCAAATCAGTAGGAAATCTATGGTACTGATTAAGTTAGGGTGGAAACAGCAGATTCTAACCAAAATCTCTAAGAACCACTGCCCTAGAGATGCTCTTGCACATGCATTCCTAAAGGCAAGTAATCTTCCAAGCAGCACTGTCACTGAACAACTAACTGAAATGTCTATCACCAACCAGCAGATAAATAAGCTGTAGTATATATACCAGGACATACAACACATGAATGAAAATGAGTGAACCCCAACCATATGAAACAGAATGCCAAATCAAGTTGCAAAAGATTAAAATATGATTCCATTTATATAAACTTTAAAAAAACATGCAAAACTGAATAATTTGTAAGAGTGGAAATATGACAGCAGGCAAAGCATTAGCTCAGGTGTGTTAACAAACTTGTAGAGTCTCAATAGAAAATTTTCAATCCTACACAGATGAACAACTGAGGCTAGAAAAACGTACATACAGAAGGGTTTAGACAAACTTGTGCTTAACAGATCTATAGTAATATCCTTCCTCCTCGTCACCATTCATTCATGGTGATCCATTATGTAGGCATGACTGATGACTGATAAAACTACTGTATTATTTTTATTCCAGGAAACATTTTTTCAAATTCCCATGCTTTTCAATCATTTATTAAAGTCAATATGAATTGGAATGTAGTATTTTTATCTTCCCCACCAAAAGATCACTATTAGGTTAATAGTCGATATTATATCAAGTGGCAATCTATAACAGAAAAAATATGACAGAAACAGAAAAAATATGAGTTACACAACTGAGTGGTAGCTGAATGCTGCCAAAAGAAAAATCTAACCACTAAAAATGTACTATTTTTCAATAATCCCAACTCCCTTTACCATTCCATACTGTACCTATTATACTTTATACATTTCTTCAAGTATTATACTAGTCTTCACCCTGACCAGCCCATTACTGACAGCAAACAGAGGCCTAAATGTTCCAGGAGGAACTGCGTACAACCAGAATTATGTTAGTATATTAAAAACTTACCTTTTAATGATTTAAGTGAGTTTTACATTTTCAGATTTTTACATCAATCTTAATTCTTAAGTTTGTTAAAGAAGTAATCATAACTCTAAAAATAGTTATAATTACTCTGTGTTCATCCTAATTGGAACCATTTCAATGTTCTAAAATTCACTGATCTTGTGACATGTAGAGAAGGTAAGATCAAATCTCTAATACGACCACTGATATCATATACTGAATTATATAATAATCTTATCAATAGACAAAGGATACTTACTTTGATCAAATACTGTTGTCTTTGATAGTTTTAGCTACAATCACCACTGAATATGAAATTGGTATAAAAAGAGACATGGATTGTGCAACCAGAAACCAACTGGTCTTACTGGTAGGACTAAAGTTTCACAAGTCCAATAACATCAGGAAAAAGAGGGCTGGGGTGAAAAGAGACAACATACTAAAGTTATGGAATCCTTAGCTCTTTTGCTCTTCCTGGCTCACAGAATGTCAGTACTACAGAGAATACCCTCTGCAGGTATGGAAGGGCTAAAATACATATATATTTAACATGTACCCTTTTGTAGAAAGCCACCATAAGATGTGCTTTGGGGAAAAAAAAAAAAAAGAGAATGAATCTAAAATGAAGATGACATGGGATAAAAAAAAAATGAAAGGTTCCAAACAGGGTAGTAATCTTAGGATGGCTGAGAGTGGCACATAACTTCTAGGAAGCCATCAGTCTAGACTAAAGCAGAAAAATGGAGGCTCTAAGAGACAATTCTCCTGGTCAAAAAGAAAAAGGAACTTATATGTCTTAGCCAATAAAAACAAGACTGACAAGTTATGGGTACATTTGCAGAAAAAATTATTAGACTTATAGAAAAGCAGGCTAAAAAAAGCAATGATTATCCTATGGAGAACAGACAGCCACAGTTGTAGTAAACAATATCTGTATCATAACAATGTGAGTATTGACTTCTAACAAAAAATTTTATGTTGGAAGAATGGGGGAAGGTAGCGGAGTGGGGGTGGCTGGATGGAAGAGCTTTGTTCTCATTGACCATAAAGACAAAAATCAGTGGATAATTTCTATAATTGATAAATCAAGAAATACTATTGAAACCATATTATCTCTAAGTGTGGAGGGGAATACCCAGGAGAGTAACTGTAAGAGTTGAAGGTGGCTGCCCCTAGGAAGTAAAACTAGGAACAGAAGAGAGTGGGACAATGGACAACTGTTTTCCAGTATACATCTCTAGTACTATGACTTTTTAAATAATTCCATGTATTAGTTTGATTAAAAGAAAAAGTTAAAAAGTAAGTTTTTATATGTCATATTTCCATAAAAAATAATACAAATGAATATATATACAAAACAGAAACAGACTCACAGATACAGAAAAAAACTTGTGGTTACCAAAGGGGAGAGGGAAAGGGGGAAGGAAGGAGAAGGGAAAAATTAGGGGTATGGAATTAACAGATACAAACTACTATATATAAAATAGATAAGCAACAAGGATATACTGTATAGCACAGGGAATTATACCCATTAACTTGTAATAACCTATAATGGCATATAATCTGCAAAAATATTGAATCACTATGCTGTACACCTGTGTACTATTGCTGTACACAATACTGTAGATCAACAATACTTCAATTAAAAAAATAAAGATATAAGGCTATGCTATTACATGTGGCAGCAACTTTGATAGGAATCAGAATATCTAGGAAGAACAGTGTAACATCTTTCAGAAAGAGGCAGAGTATTCACTTTGATGGAAAAATATGAACTTTGGTATCAGATGCTGAAGAGTTCCCACAGATCCAGGTAACATCCCAAGGAGTATGGGGGAGAGCTTGCTTTTGTTGTGGGAGTGGTTGTTATTGTTATGTAAATGTTCCAAGTCCTTTTCCAACTCTTAATGCTATTTGGCTACTTGTATCATTTAGTTTTTGTAACACACTTGACATTTTTATAAGCGATGTTTGTCTCTTGTTGGAATTGTCTAGTTCATTGAATGCTAAATAGAAAGTAGTGATATTTTGTATATGAAAGAAAATTAAGGCTAAAAGAATAGCAACTATAATAGAAAAAGAAAAGAAAAGAAAAATGTTCAGAGGTAAGTGCTTTTATTCAAGTAACAAAATCTTGAAGATACAGGGATTAGATGATAAAAGTATCAACAAAGTTTAAAAAAATCCTTTCTCACTAGAAATGTGCCTGGAAAGGAATGGTTCTTGGCATCCCTACCTGTCCACAATAAGAACTATGCACAGTAACTGCTTTTTAATGTAAACATGTAACTTCAAACTCAGTTTGGGTTGTCACACAACTCTTCACTAAAAAGAATGCATGAGGAGACAGTCTGAGACACTTTAATCAGGAAGAAGAACTGGCTTGTTTCTACTGGAAGGAAATACCATGCGTCACAAAGTAAATTCAGCAAGGAAAAAAAACCGTGGCAGATGATATAACAAAAGTTAAACAATAATTATGGCTTGGGTTACTGGTAATTTCCTTTTTACTTTCTACTTTTATATTTTCTAATATATTAAGTTCAGAGGGTTAGAGTGAAGACTTTTCTAACACCCTATATTACATAGAAGGATAAATATACTGATTAACTTTAGACCTAAGTTACATATGTATGTTTTAATTTCTAGGCAAATAAGACGGAGGAATAATTGGTTTGGTGAAGAGTCTCACTCATTGATTTGTAAACAATGACATCTAGTTTTTCAATAACTGCTACCTCTCCCAATCTGCTGAGTAGTATGTTCTCTTACAGAGTTCATAACTTTTTTTTAGCAGTGAAATCACACAGTCCTAACCACTGGACCACCAGGGAATTCCCCAGAGTTCATAACTTTTAACTCACTCTTTATTATTAAGTCTCATTTAAT